CCAGGGGGGTGCTATTTTTCATGATAAAGCAAAAAATTATTAGAGGCAAAATGAGATACAGTAATTTGAGTAATAACATGATGATAAACGAACTGTGAACAACAATTACAATTCAAATACAGTAGTCAAGCAAGACTTTGCAGTAGTGAAGCAAGTTGATGGGCGGGCGGCACACATGGCCGACACAACTCGGCACCAGAGCTACCAGATCATGCTGGATCCATCCCTGGTCGCAACATTCTTGCGAGAAATAACTTAACGACCTTTTTTATTTTGTAGAATTTTAGAAAAATGTTCTAAAGAATTAGATAATAACGGGGACACAGATCATAATTTATTAAGGTAACAAATTCGTCCACTAATAAACGACTTGCGACTTGGTATTCCTTTAATTCATGCTTGATACATGTCTGTTTTGAAACTATTGTAGGAGGTACTCAAACAGTATAGCCGAACTGCGAAAAATGAATGACGAAATGAAGGAAATCAAACAAAGAATAGCGTCGTATGAGGTAAAAATACATTGTTAATATTAACTAAATTATAAACCTAAACTGCACTGGTTTACGATAAATTAGTCAGTATTCCGCTTACTCTCAGAAAATTTTATTTACCCACAAATCAGAGGCTCCAAACCCCACCAATAGAGACCTTACGATTTTAGGACGGCAACGGCTACCAATACAATAGATTATTGAAAAGAATTGAGTAATTATAATATATGAATAATTTAGACATTGTCCTCGCTCTGTTTACAACGCCAAATCACAGATTTTCACGTCTTGATACAACGGCTGCATTCCAAGCAGCAACAAGTGCAACTTCAAACTGGGTTTAGCAGAACTCTTCCCAACCATAAAACCCATGTCTTCAACTTCTAAAACTGTATTAAATTCATACGATTGATAATATACCACGAACTATCTTTACTACACTCTAAAAACACTCTGGTTAAATTCAACCAGGAATTGGGTTAATAATCCACCCAACACATTCTGGTTAAATTTAACCCATTTCCTGGTTAAAAATTATCAATTCAACAAAAATTTGGTACAATTTTTGGACTTTTAACCAGGAAAATGGTTAATTTTTTTTAACCAGACTTGTGTAGGTGGATTTTTAACCCCGTACTGGTTGAATTAACCCAAATTTAACCAGAGTGTTTTTAGAGTGTACCATTTATTTGAAGGAGTTTGTTTTGGCCGTCGCGTTGCCGTCCTAAAATCGTAAGGTCTCTAATTCCTCCAGCGGGACTCTACCAAACATCGCTGGATTTCTACTTCAGTATCTTCTTTAGTACTGAACTGCTAAGAGATCATTGTCTCCTCACTTGAGCAGCAGAATTTCGTTTTAGTTTTAGCATACGTTTACAGAGACTATGTGGGGTTTCCTGGTACTGAAAATTTGACACGTGTCTTTGGTTTTGGTAATCTAATGATCCGTACGCGTTATTTTAATTAATTCTAGTCTAATAATCTTATGGTTTTGGAAGTCGAGTGTCTGGCAAGGGAAACCACAGAGAGATCGTTACAAAACGAAGTAGAAAGGACCAATAAATTAGGTAAACATGCATGAAGGCATATATCTTAACTATTACGTGCCTCTTCGTATACCGTGTACACTGGAAAACGGTCCATACAAATTCCATAGAATGGAAATTGTATGGACCTTTATTGGAAATAGAATGGATTTTTGATTATCCATATTTGTATATTTGCATACTATGAATATACAGTAGTATCGAAATAATATGGATATACTATGGATTTAGTGTTGCAATGGGCAATTCCAGCTTTTAATTTATGCGCACAGGGCGTGATGGGAAGTAAGGTATCATATTGCTGATTATGCTGAAAAATTTCAATAAAAACTGCCGAAACAACCGAAATATTTCAATATTCACAAGTATAAGCTATCACTCCGTGCCACCATTTTTATTTTTTCAGCATAATCAGCAATATGATACCTTACTTTC